GCATAGATCAAGCGGGCCGTGAGAGGGAGAAGATGTATAATTTGTCACAGCTGTTCCTCTAGCTTTTTGTCACTTAAGAAGAAGGTAGTAGAAGAGAAGAGTCAAGAGTTACTGTATCAATTCACCCGTTTCTGGGTGAAGTGGAGCAAAAAAATTGGTTCACCCATTTTTGGGTGAACCAGAACGAGCGGAGTATGGTCAATTTGCCAGACCCACCCGTAGGCACGGAGGGTGTGGTCTGGCTACGCGAGACTAGGTAATGACAACCCAACTGCTTAGTACCCGCCTACGCAAGCGTGGCGAGTCCAATTATTGACGTATTTGGTTCAGCAAAGGTTTATGAAGAAGTCAATGGTGAAAAGATTGTTTGGTATAACAGTGGAGCTGTTGATTATGGAAGCGCAGAGCACACATGCCTAATGATAGTAACATTATTAGTAGTGGGGGTCATCTTGATACCATACTTTGTATTGATACTGTTTGGTAAATTCCTATTGAAATTTGATCAAATTAGAGAGTACATTCATCCATTTTATGAAGCAATCCATGCTCCATACAAACCTAACAAGTGGTATTGGTTTTCATTGTATCAGATCTTTTTGCTTCTTGTATATTTATCTGAGACCTTTGCAGGTAATATGGGAGCACTACTGCTATTGCTTTTCATCATGTACAATTTATCATTATACTTCCAGACATGTTCAATGCCCTACAGAAACAAAGCTTTCAATTTACTTAACCTTTCCTTGCTTTTGATTTTGAACCTTGTTGTTGTAGTCAGTCATTACATTGATGATATATCTTCACAGCAGCTGGTGCTGTTCTTCAGCTTTTCAAATTACTACTTTGTTTTGATGTTTTATCTCATAATAGCATACCATGTCTTATTGTCCACAAATAAATTAGGTAAAATTATTATATTGTGTCAAAAGGTTTCTTCATTTTGCGACTACAAAAAACCAAAGGATCATCATCAAGATTATCCTCAATTACGGGAACCACTTCTTGAAGACATTTATGACTAATGTGTAATTATTCATTGTGCTGTGATTAGTCAGGTTGTTGTATTTTACATTTTCAGAATAATATAATAAAATTAGAGAACTTTCATTTTTATCAAGTGCAGTGAGCTGCAAATGTTTAGCCACAAGAAGTCATAGAACATAATGGCATCTCAGTAATTATCACAGGATATATTGAATTAGAAAAATAACAGCATAATCTAAAGCAAAAATTAATTTCAGCAAAAATTTAGCAGCTTCTATGACTATTAAATTGTTAGGAATGGCAGTCAGCATCAGCATCAGTATCTATATAACACCAAAAGTAAATTAAGATTTATTGTGATGACATAATAATGCTAACCTTCAATAATATCATCTTGATCTGTTGTCTAGTTAAATAAATTATCAAACATTACTATTATTTGATTTTTGCTCTTACATTTACATGACTATTAACTGGCATGTCCTCATATGTATTCTCAAATACAATTGATCTGTATTAAGCTAAAATAAAATTAACAAATTTTTTATAAACTTACTTGAGCTGAACTGATTTTAAAGGCACATCAGGGCCAATTTCATCAATTGGCAACTGTGTCAGTGGATTGATGAAAGGTGGGTCAATAGCTAAGCTATGTGCCATGTATGTGTACCCATTAACTTTAGTTACAACAATTGTTATTTACTTTCTGCTGTCACTTCTTTTTGATTTTTTTCCTCGTACAATGACACAAACTATCAATGCACAAAGAACAACCAATATAATGGAACCAATGGGCACAGCAATTGTAATTATATTGTTTTGAGTGAGGCCAACATTAGTATCAGTTCTAGTTGTGCCTAAAATTCATAAGGTATCATTGTAATACATATAAATTTAAATTACCTTGCACTGCTGGAACTCTTAATATAGTGGTGACATTTCCACTATAACCAGCATTGTTCTTACATCTAACCTATTGCAATTATAAGCAAAATACATAGATATATTAGTTCTTTATTATTATTACTGTAAATTGATAGATATATCCAGCTAAAAGTTTATTTATGGTCAGTTGTGGTGCAGTTGAATCAGCAACTCTCTTTACATAAGGCCCATCCTATTAATAGTGAGATCAATAATTATGGGTCGCACAAATTAAAGTTCATTACTATTCTTGTGTCACTATAACCAGAATAAATGACTTGATATTCAAGAGTGCTTCCAACTGCCAACAATGGATCCCATTGAAGCAAGGCAGAAGTTTCATTGATCAAAGTAGCTTTTAGTGAGCTCGGAGTATTTGGGACTGTATTAAATTAAAATTACTGTTACTCACATTATCATTACATACCGTCTTCTGATGTGTGAAAGACATTTAGAATTGAGTAAGGTCCAATGCCCACTTCAGTTTTAGCTGCAACTTTAATAGCAACCTCTTCATAAGAATGTAAACCTATGGAGACATTACAATAATTAGCTATTCCGAATTGTTTAAGCCTTACCATTTTTATAAAAGTAGTTTGTGTATGAAGGTAATGTATATTCAATCATTTCATTAATTTCTGCTCTTGTAAAGATCACTTTATACCCAGTAATAACTCCATTGGCATCATAGGGATTAGGTGGCTGCCATGTAATGTTAATTGAAGTCAATGATACGCTTTGTATTGTTATATTGATGGGAGGACCAGATGGAGCTGAATAAAAGAATCAGATAAACAGATGGCACACTAATAAGTAGCTTCATGTTATCAGGTTTCCCACAAGATTGTGGCATAGTACTCATGTAGCTTTCTGTCATAAAGGGGATTGTTAAGTTGCTGAAAATAAGCCAGACATGTAAATATTACCGTACAATTCTTTTAATTTATAATTTTTGATGTATGAGCATGTCTTTATATTGCGTATCAACTTTGAACTGCAAGGTTCCAATCAAACTTAAATTTCTATAATGCTATTTTAGAATTGAGGTAATGAGCATAAACTATAGCATCTGGTTATAGACCAGATTGTGTCAAAAATTGTTCAAAAAAGAATTCTCCATTCTTTGTAATTTTTCTAATACACGTACATGTTTTCATGTTGCATATCAATTTGAACAAATTTGAGTTTTTATTGATTTCTAAAGTACTGTATTGTAATGCTGTCACTCATGAAGCATGCTGTTTAGCTTTTTGAAAACCCTATAAGGAATAAACTTACCTGCTTGTGGCATTTTTTGTTCCAAAGGATCTGATGCCAATCCATTTCCAGCAGTATTGACAACTGATATTGAAATGGTATATTTAAAATTCTCCTCAAGTCCATCCAAGAGGTAATCCTCACGTTTCAGTGGCTCAATAGCTAAACTAGGATCTGGGTCATTGTTTTCAGGCATTACATTAATATTTTTAGGAGCTGTAGCTCTTTTTGCAATGCCATCATCACCTTGTTCTATTACTATTATGCTATAATGATCAATCTGTCCATTCCAGAATTTTCTTTTTGGTGGCTTCCATGAAATTTGTATACTATTTGGAGACATAACAGCAACTTCAATATTCTCCACAGTTGTTGATGGTACTAAAATGAGAACACCAAATTATAATGAATATTTTTTAATATGCAACAGTTATACCTTCAGCACGTGTGAAGTTTAGTGTGGTAACTGAACTCATTATGTTTTCAGGAGTCAATAAATCAGCTCCACTTGAAAGTCCTGACCCAAATAAAGGTGAGAGAATAGCCTTCATTTCTACTATATACCCAGCATACGGTAATAAATTATCTATATCATATTCCTGAATATTAGATTCTATAGTCTCAATGCCCAATGTAGTTCCATATCCAGGATAATAGTCAAAGCCATCCAAGAGTCTAAAACTGAATAAATAATATTCTAAATCATAGTTGAATAATACAGGAGCCATCCAAGTGCATGACAGACTAGTAGAACTATCTGCAGAACACTTCAAATTTTGAGGAGATTTTAAATCTATAAATGAAAGACAATTCTGTTATATGCACCATATAAAGATCTAGATTAGAGTATACCTGAAGGATTAGTTGTTACTGCCAGTGGCTCACTCATAGGACTTGTACTTTCATTTGTAATAGCAATGATTGTAAATACGTATGTTGACGAAACTAGTAATGGTTGAAGGAAGTAATTGGTATCATTTATGTTGGCAACAGTGACTGTTGGTCTGGGAGTGCTAACAGCAAAGTTTGTTGATGTAAGCTGATAAGTGATAGCATAACTTGTAACAACAGAATATGGATCAAATGGAGATTCCCAGTGAAGATGTATTCCAGTGCTGTTTATTTTAGCTGTTAATGATTGTGGGGGACCAACCAAAGCTATAAATATACACAGTAAAAAATTCAAACATAATAAATTGTTTACTTACAATTTTGGTAAGTACTTATATGTGCAACAGCAGCAGGTCCACAACCAAAAGATGTATAGGCACAAATGTAGCAAGTGTAATGAGTATTGATATGTATTTCATTAACAAAAGCTGTTGTTCCAACAATATCATAATTAACTTGATGACCATTCTGTTCAGAACAGTTTAGCTTGTACCCCAGTAAGATGCCATTTAACTGGTCACTTTGTGGCTGAACCCAAGTGAAGTGTATACCTGAGTTATTGCCAATGAATTGAGCAATAAAATTTATAGGAGGTACTGACGGAGCTGTATAAAATATAAAAGCATTATATCATAATGACTGAACAAATACCTGCTTCTGGTAATAGTATGCTGAGCGTTGTGGTAAAGGGTCCTAAACCAACTGTAAATGCAGCAACACTAAGGACATATGTTGAGTACGGTTTTAAATCATTGATTATCAGTGTTGTTGCATTAGACACTGTGTAGATATCTGTATGCTTTGTTGCATTGTGCTGAAAATGAATGTCATAGCTCCTAATAATGCCATTTTGAAAGGAGTTATGAGGAGGAAGCCAAGATATAAAAAGTGAACTGTAATTCAGAGGAACCACTGAAAAATTTCTTGGAGGACCAGATGGAGCTGTAATGCAAAAAAATTTACAAAATGACAAATTATAGGCTTACCATCTTCTGCCATTTGAAAAGATATGAGTGCACTTGGGCCAAAGCCTACTGTCACTGCAGTTACATAACAATTATAATAATAAAATGGATGAAGATCAGTAATATTTATAGATGGCATAGTGCTGTTATACTCAAAACTGCCAAAAACTTGATTAGAGGAAAGCGATACCAGATAATGAGATAGAGGGCCATTTATGTGGGTGGCAGGAGGAGGCAGCCAATTTACATTAACTTCAGAAGAGCTCAAAACAATCGATGACAAATTTTGTGGAGGAGCACTGGGAGCTATGACCAACGTTAATGATAAATTTTTAAAAATAATAATAAAAGTAAAACTAACCAGCTGCCTCTGTTTGTCCCTCAGATTGAGCAAAAGGACCAGTACCAATTACATTTGTGCCAGCAACAAACAAATGATAGTTGTAATATGGATGAAGATTTAATACAATAACATTCAAATTAGTAGTGTACAATAGTGAAGATGTTAAATTGCTTTCAACCTCAAAAACTTTTATTGTATATGACGTTATTAATCCATTTGTCATATTTGGAATAATAGAGCTCCACTGAAATAGAAGACTGGTAGAGTTAATGGTGCTGATCATCAAATTCTGTGGAGTTCCTACAGGAACTTATTTTAAAAGAAATTATTGCTTATTGTTCAAAGTGTTTATTTACTTACTGTCTTCTAGAGTGGAGAAGGTTTGATTTGTGGAATAAGGTCCAATAGCTACTGTTGTAGCTGCCACTGAAACACTATAGGTATAGTAGGGATGAAGATTGCTGCTAACTAATGATGTTTCATTTGTTTGATAGGTATAAGCTTTTCCTGTTAGTACTTCATATAAAACTAATGTGTAGTACTGAATGAGACCATTAGCTTGATTTACTGATGGTGGACTCCAAGAAACAGTAGCATTTTGAGAACTCAATGAGGTAATGGTTACTGCAAGTGGAGGACCACTAGGAGCTTTAAAATAATTATAAAGTGACATAATATTATAATATTTATTACTTACCAGCCTGAGAAGTTTGTACCATAATTTTATCACTATATGGGCCAGCTGAGATGGTTATACTCGTAACTGAACAATTGTATGTGTAGTAAGGATGAAGATAACTCAGCAAAATAGATGGTGTCTTTGTAAAGTTTTGATATGTAGTAGCAGTATTTAATTCTTCAATGATAACATTGAAACCAGTTAGTTCTCCATTGAGCGAGCTACTAGATGGTGCTTGCCATTGTAAAATAAATGAAGTTGATGTTATAGAAGTTGCCAAGAGATTATATGGAGCAGAAGATGGAGCTATATGAAAACAACACAATCATATAATGAATGACAATATAATTACGTACCATCTTCATTAGTTTGAAATGACAAATAATTTGAGAAGGGACCTTGTCCTTGACTAGTACTGGCAGAAACAGTATAACTGTATTGGCTGTATGGCTCAAGAGATGTAACAATTAAAGAAGTATTTGCTGTAGTCAGGACAGTTGGTTCTGAATTTTGCCCTTTGATCACTCTGATTGTATAATCTGTCAGAATACCATTATGATCTACAGCCTGTGGAGGGTACCATGAAAGAACAGCACTTGTTGAAGTAATTGAAGTTACACTGAGATTCATTGGAGAGCCAGATGGCACTAAAGTTTAGATGTAAAAGAATCATTGTAAATATGGTTTTATTCTTACCATCTTCAAACATCTGAAATTGTAAACTTGCTGACAATGGGCCTTGTCCAATGGTGAGTGCCCTGACACTGCAGTTATAAGTATAAAATGGTTGCAGTCCAGTCAAAAGCACACTAGTTTGCTGAGTAACATTTATGACTTGAAGGCCTGTGTGAAAGTTATAAAGAACAATTTCATAGTATAAAATGATGCCATTTTGAACATCATTGCTAGGGGGCGACCACTGAAGAAAGGCTGTTGTTGAACTTGTAACATTGACTGTGACATTTAGTGGTGGTCCAGTAGGAGCTGTAACAATAACAAACAATAAAAAAAGATCATTAAACTTTTTTTTCCTCACAATCTTGCTTTGTTGTCAAGGTAGTACTAGCTCCTGGGCCTATACCCACAGTAATAGCTGCCACAGTAATTTCATACCTGTAGTATGGATGTAGTCCATTGATTATGTAATTGCTATGAAATGGATTCTGCTGAAATGACAATGTTTTGCTTGTTATTAGCTCTAGCACAGAAATTGTGTATGATGTAATTACACCATTTTGTGTATGAGTGAGTGGTGGATCCCATGAAACTTGTATGGCAGTTGAATTGATTACTACACCAGTGACATTCTGAGGAGGACCACTAGGAACTATGATAATATTAATGAAATATAGTGCAATAGTATATTTTTAACAAACCATGTTGTGGCATTTGGACACTTGATCCTGAAGTAAATGGCCCAATACCAATTGTAAAAGCAGCTACGAGAACAGTGTATGTGTAATATGGATGAAGGTTGTGAATTGTAAAATTATTGGTCAGCGTAGTGTATTGAAACTGCTCCAATGTTTCCATGACAGATACATTGATAATATAATGTCGAATAATCCCATTAATTCTGGAAGCATTAGGAGGTGACCAATATAAATTCAGAGTTGATGCATTTATTGCTACTATAGAAAGAGCATTTGGTGGTGCAGTAGGTACTACAAATAAAAGTAATGATATAGTATTAATCAATAGAAAATGTACCTGCTTCATCAGTTGAGAATGGAATATTTTCACTATAAGGACCAACTGCAGTGGTAAATGCTGATACACTTATATTGTAAGTATGATGTGGTCTCAGGTCTGATAAAGTCACTGTTGTGCTAGTGACATTGTAGAATGACTGTACGCCACTTTTTCCATCAATTAGCTTAACAATAAATTTTCTGATAATTCCATTATAACTTTCAATTGATGGGTATTGCCATGTTAAAGTTAATGAAGTGCTGGTGATATCTAGAATTGTTGGCATCTCTGGAGCCTGAGATGGAGCTATTACAATGAAGTATTATTATTTATATAAAAAAATTTACCACTTGAGGTTCGTACCTGATTCCAGTGTTTGAAAAAACTGTTGGTCTGAATAAGGTCCTAATCCCACAGCTGTATAAGCAGCAACTCTATATTGATATGTTGTGTAGGGCTCTAGTGACCCAATAGTAATGCTTAGTGATGATGTTAGCAAAAAGAATGCAGAGCCAGGTGCTGTTGAGTCTTCAATGCTAATATTGTATCCAACAATGATTCCATTTCTCTCAGATAATGGTAGAGGCAACCACTCAATAACAACTTCAAAAGAATTTACATTTGCTACATTTAAACTAACTGGAAAACTTGAAGGAACTAGAAAAAAATTATAGCATAAAAAGAATTAGAGTTATCTCACCATCTTCAGCAGTAGTCAGAATAAGAGGAGAAGAGAATGGTCCAGGAGATATTGTGTACGCAGCAACTGATACACTGTAAGTGTAGTATGGATGAAGATTGCTTAGTGTAGCATATAAATTATAAGATAGTATCTGAAAGTGAGACCCAGTATCATTTTCAGTGACATTGATAATGTAATATCGAACAATCCCATTCTGATGTTCAAGTGACAATGAATCCCAAGAAAGGGATAAACTGCTTGAAGTTACAGCAGTATTTATAAAATTGTTTGGAGAGCTAGATGGAGCTATAAGAAATATTCAAAACATAATTTACTGAAAATAAACTTACCATCTTCAGGCATTTGAATAACTAAACTAGCTATTGGTCCTTTTCCAATTGTAACTGCTGCTACAGTACATTTGTAAGTGAAAAATGGATGTAGATCATTTATGACAATAGCAAATGCTGAAGTCGCATAATCGGTCACTATACCAGTCTCAATTTCAGTGATTGTTACATTATAATACTGGATTATGCCATTAGTTCCTTCAATAGTGGGAGGAAACCATTGAAGAAACAGTTGTGATGAATCACTTGCAGTAGCATTGAATAACTCAGGTGGGCTTGTTGGCTCTATAAAATGTATAATAAAAATTATTGTTAAAATTATATACCATCTTGGAAAGTAGTGATGTTTTGCTCTATAGTAAATGGTCCAGCTTCAACTGTAACGGCTGCTACTTTAATTTTATATTGAGTAAAAGGAATGAGACTAGACACATTTAAAACATTGCCAAAAGCAGTAAATGAATCATCAGTTCCTGTTAAAACATGATGAATCACTACCAGATAGTCCCTGATGATTCCGTTGTGGCTTTCAGCTGGTGGAGGATCCCATGATATAACTGCAGAGTGTGAGCTAGTGACAACTACCTCCAAGGAATCAGGTGGCAATGAAGGAGCTAAATGAAAAGACATCACACTAAAAATATAAAGAAAAAATATAATGCACATACCAGCTTCTTCTGTAAGAACTGATACAGAAACTGTGTATGGGCCTTCATCAACTGTCACTGCTTGTATGGAGCAGTAATAAGCATGAAAAGGTTTGAGACCGGTGACAATTAGTTGTGTTTGATTGACAACATGTTCAGTGATGCTCAATGAGGCAGCTTCAGTGACATTGACACGATATTCTCTAATTATTCCATTATGATCCTGAAGGATAGGTGGATCCCATGAAATATGAATGCTAGTTGGACTAAGTGCAATAGCATTAGGATGCTGTGGTGGGCTACCGGGAGCTAAAATTATGAATAACTATAAATCAGCAATTAATATTTTATGCTAACCTGCTTCATCAGTTTGCACAAAAAACAAATGGCTAAATGGTCCAATACCAACTGATGTTTCAGCAGCTACCACACAAACATAAGTGGTGTATGGATCTAAACCAGTAACATGTATTGTAGCGACATTTGTATGATACTGCATTGTCACAAGTGTGTCAGAGTGAGTTATATTAACAACATAAGCAACAATTTCCCCATTTCTTTCATCAGGTGGTGGAGAAGCCCAGGTCAAAGTGATTGAATATGGGGTGGTGGAATTTATTGATAAGTCTTGGGGATACCCACTTGGAGCTAATGTCATTGAAAAAAATAAGATAAAAATAATCTAAATTATAACTTACCATCTTCTGGCAGAGTCAAATTCATGAGTGATGTAAATGGTCCTATAGCTATGGTGTAAGCTGCCACAGCAATTTTGTATGAGTATGATGGAATGAGAGAACCAATGATAGCAGTTGTTCCAGTCGTATTATAAGTCATTGTGTCAGTTGTACCAGACACTTGAAGTCTAACAACATACTTTCTGATAATGCCATTATGATCAGCAAGTGTTGGAGGAGTCCATTGAATAGCAATCGAACGTGAATCAATAACAAAGTATGTTGTCACTACTGGAGGGGAATTTGGAGCTAAAAAAATTAATACAAGAATATTTATTAAAATCATAACATGCTAACCATCTTCATCAGTTGTGAAAGTGAGGATAGTAGTGTATGGCCCTCTTCCAATACTTGTTTCAGCAGCTACTATGCATGAATATGTTGTGTATGGACTTAATCCACTGATATAGGTTGAAGTAATATTGCTAGTATGAACAAAACTGTATCCAGTTGCCAAGGATGTTATGTTTAGCTGGTATGATGTTATAGCTCCATTTTGACCATCAAACGGTGGAGGATTCCATGATAAAGACACAGAAGAGGATGTGAGCATATCTTGAGACAAATCTTGAGGTGGCTGACTGGGAGCTAAAAGCATGCAATTAAAAATTTAAAATAATTTTTAGAATTGAAAAATTAAGTTCATATTGTATATACCTTCTTCATTAGTTGTCACATTCAATTCAATTGTGAATGGTCCAAGAGCAACAGTGAAAGCAGCAATACTGCATGTATAGGTATAGGCAGGATGAAGGGAAGAAAGAGTGAGATACAAACTATATGATGTGTATTGGGTAACAAGACCAGTTTCAACTTCTAACACACGAATAATATAATGTGTAATAATGCCATTTTGATCTTCATATAAAGGTGGATCCCACTGAAGTGAAAAGCTGTCTGATAGTACTGCCACTGTTCTGACTTGGATTGGTGAGCTAGCTGGTGCTATAAATACATTAACATAACATTATGACTTATGAGGCTATGAGCACAAGTTGTACATTTAACATGCATGTATATGTGTATGATCTCATGAGGTACAATTATATTGTCACTAAAATAGCATGGCTAGCTACTTAAAATTTTAAGAATTTTTAATCCCATGTACATGTTCATTGGAACATCTATACATGTATGAGATCTACATATATGCATGCATGTTCTCATGAACAAATACATGGGATAAAATATGTATACATGCATGTCCTTTAGGGTTTCCCACAGAATTATGGCATAGTCAAGTTACTTAAAAATTGGACCAAACATCCTGTACTATAGGTACTGGGTATTTTGACAAGGAGAGAATTCTCCATTCTTATATTTTTTCCTGGTACATTATTCAAGTAATTATGTTGTGTAAAAATTTTGAGCTGATTCAAATCAAATTTAAATTCTTAAAGTTGCTCAAACATTGGGCCAAATAGTACAGGGCCATTGGTCAAATTTTGCCAAATTGAAGGAGAAAAGAATTCTCCATTTCTCCTGATATACATGTGCTTACGTTTTATATGTTATGTAAAACTTTAGCTGATTTCGAAAAATTAATGCCATGTATTGCATTTTATTGCTTGTCAGCTCTTGAAGCATGCTACTGAATTTTTCTGATACACACAAATTATAATTAAATATGGAATAACTAGCTAATGAAATTAGCTATAGAGGTAATGGGAAAACAAACACCACTTATAAAAATTAACAATTAACACTTACCATCTTCAGGAGTAGTTATTGCAAATACAGAGCTGAAAGGTCCAATACCAACGTTAGTGACAGCAGCAATGATACATTGAAATGTTCTGAAAGGTATTAGGTCATCCACAAAGAGTGATGTAGTATTAGAAAACAAGAGAAAATCCTCACTAGTCTCTAAGATTGTTACATTAATAGTGTACCCAATGATAACACCATTCTGTTGATCAATGGGTGGAGGATCCCACATCAGGTAAGCTGAATAAGGAGACACAATTGTCGCATTGAATGTCTCAGGTGAACCACTGGGTACTATATTATTTTCAAAAAGTATAAAGATTAATTTTTATAAAACTCACCATCTTCTTCTGTTTGAAGAATTAAAGTATTTGAGATTGGGCCATAAGCAACAGTCAGTGCTCTAATGGTCACATAATACTGATAGTTGGGGTGCAATGAAGTGACAGTTGTACTTAACCCTGAAACAGAAACACTTATTGTGCTTCCAGTCACCACTTCAAATACTTCAACCAGATATTCTCTGATTATTCCATTACGATGCTCAAATAAAGGAGGTGACCAAAAAACTGCTAAAGCTGTTGAATTTATGACATAAGATGTGACATTAGAAGGAGAAGATGAAGGAGCTACAAAAATTAAAATTAAATTAACACCATTTTTAACTATAACCAAAATAATTTACCAGCCTCTGGCATTGTAATGTAATAGGCAGTAGATGTTGGTCCAGGTGCTATGGTAACAGCTCTTATTATTATTCTGTAGTTGTAGAATGGATGCAGATTCTCCAACAGTGCTGAGGTTAAATATGAGTTTGTATTGTTCGTCAAACCCGTCTCAAGCTCTGTGACCTCAACAGTATAATATTGAATGAGTCCATTCTGCTTCTCAAATGGAGGAGGCAACCAAGTGAGATTTAGTTCTTGTGAACTAATAAAATAATGATTAAGAGACATCGGAGCAGCGGTAGGTGCTATAATACAAAAACATAAATAAAGTGCATAGTCAATTAGTAATAACCTGATTGTAGAGTTTGAACAGTAATAGCAGGTGAGAAAGGATATATTGTTGTATCCACAACAATTGCTATTTGACATATATAGATATAATATGGATGGAGTGACAGTACAGTAGCAAACTTTTCCACAGAATAGAAGTGCCAGATACGACTAGTTACTAATTCATCCACTCTTATGACATAATGGGAATTATTGGGAAGGATTGGGGAAGACCATGAAAGATGTATGGAGCTTGATGTTAATGCCGTTCCCTCAATATCAGTTACAATTACTAATTTGAAATTAAAATAAATAATAGTAAATAAAATCATTACTGACATCCTTCAGGATAAATTGTAAGTTCGGTTTGACTACCAAGACCTTGAGAAGTTGCTGCTCTTACATTTACAAGGTATGACCCTATAAATTTTAATTTAGTGTTATTATCAGTACAATTGTTACCATACCTGTAGTGTTGTATGTCAAGCATCTTTCTTCATGTGGTTCAACAGTTACAGTGAAAACTGGATTTATACTGCCAATTTCTTTTACAACTACTTGATAATAGAGCAAAACTCCATTGGGTGATATAGGTTCACCCCAGCAGACTTCAATACTAGTATTAGTTGGATAGGAGTAGTTCAAAAATGAAACTTGAGAAGGAACTATGAAATATAATAAAAATGATATAGATCTAAGTGAAAATAATATAATTTTCAATCATTACCTGATTCTTCACTTCTGTAATTTTTCATTGAGCTACAGCCTACTTTATTACCAGAAATGCTGTATGCTATAACATTAAGACGGACTAGCTGATATGGTTTAAGATTGCTTAGTGTGAAATTAAAAGTATTGTTGTTGAAGTGTCGATTTAAGCTTGTGCCATTATCAAACACTGAAGAAACTTCATATGTAGCAATTTCTTCCAAGACTGACGAAGGCTCATTCCACTTTACCAATAAGGAATGTGCATTAAATGTTATGTTGGTAACATTTTGACTAATAGGATTGCACACAAACAGAGGAAGAGAGAAGTTTGTTTTGTGAGATTTACAACTGTCAGTAATAGAGATATTTAGTGTTAGTGATGATGAACCAGGAGACAAACTACCAGAAGCAGATACATCAAACAAGATTGTTTCTGTGCCAGCTGGTTCGATTGTGTCAGGTTTTTCAATAATGCTAATAGAAGCTTGACTGGGAAGGGAAGAGATACCTTGAAACACAAGACCTAATTGCTTTCCTTGCTGTACACTGTACTGTAATGTCGCAGACACTTGAGTTGTTTGACTAGGAGCAACATAGATAGTTTCGATGCCATTCAAAGTCAAGTCTAAAGAAGGTGGTTGGAACGTTAGTCCATCATAGCCTGATAAAATGAGAGAAAATGGATTATTGCTAATATCATAACCATTTAACTGGTAAAATACTAATGAAGATGATGGAAAACTAAGAACTCCAGACAAAACATTCAAACACCTTTCTAGTATAGTCTGTGCTACATGTTGCCCAGTATCATTAAGGACATTCAAATAGAGTGTATGATTAGGAGAGAGCAAGTGTAGCTGTGGTGATGTTGCTATAATAGTGCCTGCTGAGCCTGCAGAAAAATAAAAATAGCAAAGCATGAATAATTACAATATATCATTATTGTGTACGTGATAAAGGATATCAATGTCATGTCGTGAATATTGGATTCTATCTCTTACATGCTTGTGGTAAGTCAGCAGTTGGTACAATATTTCCATCTTCCACAGCAGTATATGATATGTCTAACATAAAATGAGATGATTCACTCACTGAAACTTTAATGTGGCCAGATAAAACATAAGCCATCCATGTTCCAGGTGGGGGAATATCAATAGAATACAGAATTAGAGAACCAGAGACATAAAGAGATTGTGTTGTTCCATCTGGTTTAGTAATGTAGACATACGATTGAGAATGGCAAGTGCTGATGAGAATATTCAGACTAGTAGTAAAGTGTGTAGTATTGAGGCTATGAGAAGGGGCACATTCTGTGAACAATGATGATCTTCTGCGTCTAGAAGCTCCAGCACTGTTGTATGTGTTAATGAAAGTAGCAAATGCTCCAAAATCAGATATTGAGTCAACTCTGATACCACCTGTGGATGTTCTGACTGTTTCGTAATTGGCCAAAGTACCACAATATGATCCACTATAAAAGAAATGGACAGTGGCTTTGGTAGCATTGGCAGAGTTAATGACCTCTTGGTAACGGGAATCATCTTTTGCAGAAGCATCAGTCAAAACTATGACATGGTGCAAATTACCAGTCGTAGGTAAAATAATCCCCTCTACAGTCTTTATTGCAGCTAAAACTTTTAAGATGCCAGTCATGCCATATTCAGGACAGTCTCCACCAGAATGAGCATAAAGGGCGTTAACATCATCTCTTAAATTTTGTGCACCATACACTGTTCCTCCTGTACTGAGACTAAGTGCAGATTCTTCAGTACTGTACTCAATCAAAGGATCATATATTTTAGCTGTCCCAACATCTATATATAAAATTGGTATCATAAAAGATAAATAATATTATTTTACATACTTTGTTCTGGGGTAGAATAGCCATAGTCATTAAAATCAACTAATGCATAACAAGCAGGGACTATACTCTCAGAGTTCAAGAAGTCCAAAATTAGCTGCCTCACATATGATATTTCACTTGACATGCTTCCAGTAGTATCAACGACAAATCCAATACATCGTTTTAAGATCACTGTTTCCTCACCTATAGTTGTGATTGGTCCTATTCCGAAAATTGGTCTAAGGTCATCAGAATGCACGCAAGCATAAAATATGTCAATATTGATAAATGTTCCACCCAAATTAGAACAATTAATTGGTGCAGAAGGTGGTGGTGAAGCAGTAGGTGTAGGTGTTGGTCCTGGAGTTGATAATGAAGGAGCTGGAGAGGAAGTAGTTGAATTACTACGAAGTTCATCATTACCGTATGTATCAATGAGACAGGCAAGTCTACCAAATATTTTTCTGACCTCTGCAACTACTTCAGTGTTGTCTGCTGTAAGATTTTGTAACTTTGTAATGAGACTGTATACTAGACTCCCGACTTCACTCGGAGTGGGTCGTTCCTCTAAAACACCATAACATGACTGAAAATATGAATTTGTTATCTGCTCTAGGGCGTCCTCAAAACTCGCAACACCGTTGTCTGAAAATTCGACGTTCAAAGCAGAAGCCAAAGCTTGATAAAGCTCGGTGCTGTTTCCTGTACCATTGAGAGTGGAGTTATAAACACCAGACAGTATAGAGTTGGCGATAACGTCTATTTCAATTAGTACGGCAAGGGACGCATTGTCAAAAGACTCCGCGTAGTTAGCAACACCACTAGAGGTACATTCATCACAGAAACCAAATGACAGGGCCAGAGATAGAGTGATAGCTGTCAAAAGAACTTTTCTAACACCCATATCTACAGCCAAAATTTTGCATTCACGCAGGGCAGAATCGTGATCACTCAGATCTAGCATAGATCAAATCATTGTTTTATATATACATAGATCTACACCCTGCATTGTTCACCAACAATGAATAAATCATATAGATGAATGAATAGAGCTACAAATTTACGTGACTGGGACACACCCTTCATTCTCGGTAATCATAGTTTTTAATGTTTTAAGCTTATTATGTAGAGTAGTAAGTTTATATATTATATCCCTGAAAGTAGCTATATAGATGATCAAATAAGAAAATAAATATCATTAAACAAAAAGCTAGATCTGATCATATAGTCTCTCTCTGACAACTAACAACAATTTCCAAGTCAGTTCCTTCAAACTTAAAAATCTGTTTTATACATGGCATAGCATTTTCCAACCGCTCAAAAATTCGCAAATCGATTGACGGGAATTTCATTTTTAATGACTTCCAACTGTCTTCATCCAATTCAACATCGTCAATTTCTTTTTTTGTTATCTGTAGAATTAAACAATAATTATAAAAGACTGTAATAAATTCAAACCTTGTTCAAATTCGGAGATATCTCCCATCCGTCTACAATCAGGGCAGTATTTGGCACAATACATAGGCAAAGTTGCTGATTGCTGGAGTCATTCATGAACATAAATTCATTATGACACTCACTTTGAACATACTATACATAGACAAAAAATCCTGAATAAACTAAGCATTAAGCAAACAGTTATTGTACCTTAAAGTGTGCTGTAAGGTGCTTTGTAAATATAATACTCAAACTCCAAAAGTTTTTGTATTCTTCTTTGTAAAAAGAATGAGCTGCATACTTTATACAAGTGTCTGACCTACAATAAAGTATTTTACCAGATTGATATTAATGATTAGCTTACCTGGATCCATTATATATGACACATAAAAGGCAATTTTTGTCAA